GTCCAGGGCACTCCGTAGAAAGCAAACATCACTGTGCTGGCAAGGCAGGCAAAGGCACTTCCTACACAAGCCGGATGACCTTGAGTAAAAAGAGAGAACAGACTCTAAACTCTGACCTTCATATGTGTTCTATGATGCACATGTGGTCATGCTCACATCATACACAGAATAATAAAAAAATTAATTTTTAAAAAATTGCTGGAAAGCTGGCTCATGGTTAAGAGCACTTGTTACTCTTGCTAAGGACCCAGATTTGTTTGCCAGCACCCAAGTGATGGCTCACAGCCATCTATATCTCCAGTTCTAAGAGAGCTGATGCCCTCCGTGGGCATCACAGGCACGCAGTGCAGACGTATGTGCGAATGATGTTCAGTGAGAGTGAGGGCGAGCAGGCAAACACAGTGCTTCCCCTTCCGCGTCCTTTTACATAGGCTGCCGTCAGAAGGTGTCTCGGATGAAGGGTGGGACTTCTGGCTTCAGGTAATCTGATTGAGAAAATCCATCACAGGAGTGCCCAGCAGCTTGGGTTTTAGTGGATCCCAGATGACAGCCAAGACTGGCCATGACATATCATTGCTGTTGCTGGTCCTCTGCTGGCGTCAGATTCCAGCTTCTTCAGCCTTGCACCCTGACTGAAAACCACTGTCAATGTGCACTACATTTTCTTTATCCATCCTCCTGCTGATGGACACCCAGACCGGTTCTGGAACTTCCCTTTCGTGAACAGTGTTGCAGTGAACGCTGATGTGCCGAAGTCTCTGTGATATGTGCCCAGCACAAGTATTGAGTTTTACTGTTTAATCTTATTTGAATGGGGGTGTGAAAGGCCATGTAGAGGCCGGAGGTTGACGCTGATGTCTCCCTCAGTTGTTCTCCATTTTATCTTCAGAGACAGGTTTCCCATGAAGCTGGAGCTCACCAGTTCTACTTGTCTGGCTGGCCAGTGAGCCCCTGGGATCTGCCTTTGTTTCCTTCCCCAGTGCCAGTGGCTGGCTTTCATGTGAGTCCTGGGGCTTCTCATGATTACAGGACAGGCACCTTACCCACTGGGTGCCTCCGCAGCCCCAAGCTTATTACTTTTTAATGTACGTTTTTATGGAATGCTAAAATTTGTCCTATCATCTTTGCAGTCTAGCAAGGAAGCCCTCATGGGCATATTATGAATAGTCGTGAGCTTCCTTATTGCAAATTCTAGAGAACTGCAAATAATCAGAATAAATATCTTAGGAAGTCACGTGACCTTGAAGGACTTATCTTTCCCGTGAGGGTTACACAGACAAAGCCTGCTTTCCCAACTGCTCTGCCACACTGTAAATGAGGCCTTAGGAAAGGCAGACAGTGAAGAAACCCAGTGCATACTGATGAGCTTAGATATCCCGGGAGCATACACAGATAGAGCCCCACAGCTACAGAAAAAAAAAATCAGATCAAAAGACCCACTGAGAGAGATGCTGGCCGTGCACCTGTGATTTGAATATCAGCTACGTTTCGTGACAACTGTAATGTATACCCAGAGAAGAAAATATCTCAGGCTGTGGCTTTAACAACCACATAAAAATTCTTTGTCTAGAAATCAACCTGACAAACTCTTTGAGACAGTACAAAAAACATTCTGGGCAGAAAGCAAGAGAGACCTAAGGAAAGACAGTCTACTGCACACTTGGGGATTTGGGAAATTCAGCATTGTTCGACAAATGTAAGCTTCCTCCCCCACGGTGTATCTACGGATTTAACCAAATTCCCACGAGGCTTTTGCTTTTGTTTTTGTTCTGTACTTGACAGACAGATTCTGAAAACCGAATAAAAAGCAGAGTGGAGTAGTCAGGAGGTTTCTGAAGAAGGACAGCACGAGGCAGCTCCGCAGGGGTTGCAGGTCTGGAGCGCACCCCGGGAAGAACCTTAGAAGACTCAGGGTGGAAGGGACAAAGAAAGAAAGAGTGGCTGTCCAGAAAAGCAGGCAAGGTTTGCATCCACTCTGCTCGATTGTATACCTACATGTGAAAAGAATCCTAAAAGGCAAGTGCAGACAAGTTAAGACTGTCTGTGATTTAAAGGGGAAAAAAAAGTCACCATGGAAAGGGACTGCCTCACAGAAAAGGATGTCCCAGTAGGTGACATACACTACAGCCACCAGAAAAGACTGATGGCACCTAGACATTGAAAACCTATTCCTTTCTGGTCTTTCTGGGGCAGGGCAAGAGTCCTGGGACTGGTTCAATGTCCACCACGAGAGCAGCCGGAGAAGACATCAGCCCGGGAAACAGTGAACGATGTCTCCACAGATTCCCAGTCTGTCAGACTTTTTGTGTCCATCCTCACTGACAGTGACGACCCTGACACATTTCCTAATATAGCCTATCCCTTCATGGCCAGCCTCCATCACCAGCCCTCACACCTGGGTCCCTGGCAACCTCTCCTCCTGCCCTTCCTTTTATGTGTCCTGTCCCATGGATTTTCCCCACTCTTTGTAGGTGTTTTAGTTCCTAATAATAACCATTAAACCTCTCTCAAGGTGCTTTTTTTCCCACAGAGACAGCTTGTATCTAGACATAATAATGAGCAAGTATTTCTTTAAACTAATTTTTCTTTAGAAATCAAAGACAACACCTGTTCTACGCTGGGATCATTTATGAATGACTTCAGGATGACTACCCTCAGGGAAGTTACTGGAAACTCAAACCAAGATGTGCTCATGCGCATATTTTATATTCTTATGCATGCGAAAACGTATTAAAGGGTGATTTGGTTGTCTCCTACTGTGGCATTTATGAACAACATACTATAAATGTGTACGTATAAACAGATGCGCATTGAACAGAAGCTATATAGAGTAAAACCTGTGACTTCATACTTTGGAAAATAGCCAGGCAGTGGTGACTCATGCCTTTAATCCCAGCACTCAGGAGGCAGAGGCAGGAAGATCTCTGTGAGTTCAAACCCAGCCTAGTCTACAAAGCTAGCTCCAAGACTTCCAAATCTACATAGGAAATCTTGTTTCAAAACAAAACAAAATTGGGAAATAAACGCTCATGTGACCCCCACCAGCATCCCACAAGTCACTATGGGTACTCTGATGGTCACAAAGCTGCCTTTTCATCCCAGTGTCTTCCATTTTAAAATATGTTTTTAAGAACTATATATTTCTTGTTTTACTTATGGCCCATGCCTTTGCTGTGTGAATATATGTGTATCATGCGCATGCAGGAGCATCGGATCCCCTGGAGCTGGAGCTTCAGATGTTCCTGAGGTGCCGTGTGTTTGTGAGAACCGAACCTGGGTCCTCTGGAAGAACAGTATGCACTCCTAACTGTTGAACCATCTCTTCAGCCCCCAAATGCCTTCTACTGATATGTTACCGAGAAGCAGTAGCCAGGTGAATGGTGTCAAGAAGATGTGAGGAGCTGCCTGCCACACCCTCCAAGCACTGGCTGACAAGGAAGTGGCTAAAAAATGACAGCCCCATAGGAAGTGGTCAGGATTCTACCGTGTTCTACTAAAAAGGCCAAATATCCAGGGAGGTACAAGCTGAAGCTACCATTTTACCACCATGAGCTTGGTAGACATAGACACCAGGCAGCAGGGAGGGCATGGAGCCACAGGGGCATAGCCTCTGATAAAAACAGAGGTATGAGCTCTTTAAAACTGGCATCTCCTGCCAAAGAATGTGTTCTTGGAACCCCATGGCCCAGTAACTTACCTAAGGATGAGCCCCAAGAAATGCACTATTTCCTGCAGGTGCTGAATAGCCCATCATTTTTCATGAACAGTCACCTCTCCCCTGCAGCTTTGAAAATAAGACCCGGACACACACACACACACTTTAAATACACTTTTCTTCTTATCTTTGTCCTTCTGCAAAAGTGCAATGATTTTCTTGTCTCTGCTCAAATGCCTGATGAGAAACAATGTAGCACAGAGTATCTCTTGGCTCGGAATTGAAGGGTGGGAGGGCATGGTTATGGCAGAGGAATGTGGGCTGCTAATCCACATCTCAGTGTACCTGAGAGCAGAGAACACTGGGGGGTGGGGTCTCAGCTCCTGTTCTCCTTTCCCTCTTATTCCACCCATGCCCCAGCCTTTTTTTGCTTTGGGGTTGGCCTGGTTTTTTAAATTTTATTTATTCATTTATTTATTTATTTTTCTTGCCATGTCACTCAGGATGTGTTGAACCCCCAGTGACCCCAGGCCTCTTCATCTCTCATTCTCGTCCAGTCTTGTCTAACCTTCCAGCTATCTGGTTAGGACAAGTTCAAGCTTTTGCATGTGCACAGCCCCCCCCACTGACCCCCATCTACACTCTGTGCCCACTGCTGGTGACGACCTCTGTCTGTGCCTGTCTTGTCCCAACACTTCTGACACGGCTGAGGGTTTGATCAGATAAGGGAGCCGAGCCTCCCCACCACTAAGCATGTCACTGGCCCCTATCTGAGCCCCACAGTATCTACTATTTTTTTTCAGACCAACCAGGCCCTCATAGGGTAAGAGCTATGACCACTCTGTCCACCATCCATTTTTCAGCTTACCCCCACCCCAGCTCACAGGGCAGCACCCTTCTGGGGCAGCACCACTTCCAGGATCAGCACATGCTGTTACTGGCCTTGACCTTTGAACAGTGACCTTCAGTTCACAGGGAGTCTCTTTCCCCATTTCAGGGGCTAAGTAGGTGAGAACCTGAGCAACACCCTGTGGGGTACCCTGAGACTGGCAGGGTTTCACCGTCACTGTAGGATGTTTCCCTGGGTACTCCACATCATCTCTCCCACTCCCTACAGGCTTCCCAACTCTGTGCATCCTGTGTGGAACCCCTCCCCCTAACACCCCTCATTTCACCATCCTACACACCTGGCCACTCCAAGACCACTTGGTTTCTGAGCAAGCCTTGTGCAGAATTAACCGTGTAAAGGCCCTGGGGTCATGGAATGCAAGAAGCATCTGATAAAGGTCCCCAAACCTCCAGGTGACACCTAGAGCCTGCTTGGAACACGGACAGAAGACAAAGCTGAGCTGGGCACACGTTTTAATGAAAGTTCACAGATACAAGAGCTTGGAGTAGGGATCACAGCTTGGAGGAAGTTGGGGTCAGGAGTGAGGGAGTCCCAGGTGCTGGCAGCTCCCCTTCTGGGAGCTCCCACATAAGCCCTTCTTGCTGGGTGTCAGGTCTGAGGGATGCAAGAGCTTGGGTAGGGTGCATGGGTCAGGGAGGGAAGTCACTGGCAACCAGGCAGCAACAGAGGGAGCCCAGAGATCCAGTGACAACAGGGCAGGGCAGGAGGCAGATAGGGTGGCTTGGAGGAGTGTGCTGCTCCTTTGGGCACTCAACTTCTGGCGGCCTTGCTGCCATGCATGGCTCTGGGCCTTGGTAGAAGCCCATTCTGCCCCACACTCTCAGCATCCTGAATCTCAGTGACCATCAGTCTCAGTGCTGTGTCTCCAAGGCCACTGCCTGCTGGGCTCAGTAGTCGGTGAGGGGGTACCGCAGGAAAATGAAGATGAGGATGATGCAGGAGGCCGCCAGCGCAGAGCTGGTGATGTTAAACAGCCGCGCTGTCTTGGCATCTTCCACGGCTCCATTCAGGTCATTCAGGAGCTTCTTGTCCCGAACCTGGAGGCAGAAGGAGGAGGAAGACAGGCAGAGGTCAGAGGAAGCAGTGGGTGGAGGTCAATAGAGAATGACAGGGGTCAGTGCAGGAGGAGGAAGGAAAGAGGGAGCTGTCAGAGAAAGCAGGAAGAGGAAACCAATAGAGGACAGGGGACCATGGTCATCAGAGGGGGAGGAAGAGATGCGGAAGTCAGGAGAGGAGACAGGACAGAGGCCAGCAGAGGAAGGAGGATGAGGTCAGGAGAGGAGAGAGGACAGTGGCCGTCAGAGGAGAAGAAGATGGGCAGAAGTCGGAAGAGGAGGTAGGACAGAAGCCAGCAGAGGGATGGTGAGAGAGGACAACAGAGGAGGGGGAACTGGAGCCAAAGGAACGGGAATGGAGATGGGAGGAGGGGTATGGAGACTAGCAGCAGAAGGATACAGAAGTCATCAGGGGAGGTCGACAGTAGAGGAGGGAGGTTGGAGTGGTGGGGAGCAGGGGTGTGAGCGTTGAGTAGTCTCGGGACCTCCGTCCTACAAGCACCCCCACCTCGGTTTGGGGAGCATAGTCAATGAGAAACTCATCTTTCAAGGTTTGTAAAGTAAATAGTGTCTAGTTAGAGAAGGAAAGGGGGAACAAAGAGCACAGGTATCCTGTGAGGATGCCCAGGAATTTCTGTTTTAGTTTGTGCGAATGCTCAATGAATCTGAAGTGATCTAACACGAAAGAGGAAGGTGACCCTGGAGATAGCGGATGCACGGTGAATAGGGCTGCGACGCCAGCAACAGTGGGCGTGAGATGTGGTGACATGTGTGTCCAGGGTGTCGTGATCAGTTCTGCCTAGCTGAACACTGGCTAGGACGCTGAGTAGATAAGACATTGTAGGGAAATGAGAGCAGAGCTGGCCATTCCTAAGAGGCTACTTGGTCATGGCAGACATGTCTTAGGACAGTCCCCGTGTACGACATAATCCAGTGAGCGCCAGCTGAACATGATGCAAGCTCAGAGCAGAGCCTAGGAGAAGATGGAGGTGGAGATGATGGCAGGAGATGAGGACTGGGTTTGGTTGAAGGAAGGAAGCCGGACAGAAAGACATTGGGACTGCCTGATGCCAGAGTCAGGAAGCGTGGCAGGAGGGAGGGTGAGTGGGTGGGAACGAGGTTGGATATGGACAGGCAGAGGACAACTGATGCCTGCTAGGAGGAGGGACTGTCCTGGGGAGGAATGAGTGGTAAGGTGGAGCAAGGGAGAGGAGGAGGTGTGCGATGGGTCCCCAACAGCGGGCAGAGGGAGCAGAGAGGAGGAAGGCCTGGGCTGGGGTAGAGAAAGGAGGGGAAGGGATCCAGCAAAGGGCAGGGGTGACTTAGAAGGTGGGTTGTGCTCTATGTGAACTGGATGGAGAGGCCGTGGGAAGAGGAATGAGGAGTCAGGAGAGCAAGGGTGGGAGTGAGATCCTGCCCTCTGGTGATTTGAGGGGGAACCAGCATCTCTGTCACCGAGAATGAGGTGTGACCCCATTTACTTAGCTCGCGCAATTTGAGTAAAGTTTTTGATAACGTTTTATCATTTTCTCTAGAAAATTAAATTCTATCTTCCCTTGAATTTAGTATTAGCCTACTTGGTTTGCAGCTGTAATGTCAAACCCATTCCCTCATGGATGCTTGCTGTAGACACTGAATCTCTAGCAAGTACATTCCATATCCAGTTCAACTACCCTGCTGCTGTCATTAGCCAGGTGTTCTCTTTAACAAACCAGCTGTTCTACTTCCTCTTGTCAGACCCTCCTCCCGGCTGCAGCTGTGATAGAGAAACTCTGCAGGTGTCCACTGGTCACCGCACAGAGTTAATGGGCCCTGTGGCTTCTCCTAATGCTTGTCTGTGGGGTGAAGGCTGTGCAGTGTCCACCGCACACTGTTGGGAAAGGCCGTGATTAGTCTCATGCTCCTGGCTCAGCATCTTGCCCATAGGCTCCTATGAGGAAGACAAAGAGGATTCTAGAACAATGCTGAGTAGCAGAGAGTGTGCAGGACAGCCTCAGCTCACCCTTGTTCTTTTGCATCTTATTTTTTTTAAGAAAATAGATATTTATTCTTTGACAGTTCTGGAGGCTAGAAGGTAGCTATAAATACAGAAGCGAATATCAAGTGAACAGTGTGGGGGGAACAGGTAAATAAACTCTCTCACACACACATGCACACATACATGCACACACACACACACACACACACACACTCCAAGTAGCTTAGGCAAGTGGGGCCACTGGTGTTTTGATGTGCGTTCAATGGACAGGAGAGACAGTAGGTGAATTTGGCCATATGCTGGGTGAGGGAGGGAGGTACACAGAGGGACCTAGGTCAGATGGAAACAGCAGAGAGATATGAGTGGATGTTTGTTGTGGGGGGTAGACAGGCGAGTGTATGAATACATGTGTCCCGGATGAGCAGAGCAGGTGGTGTGAGGAGACAGGAGGTATGTTGCTTGTGTAGGGTGCATCGAATGATCGGAGAGATACATGGGAAATAGTAACACATTTATGTAGTTAGGATGGACGCCTAGATAGAAGCGTGCTGATGGGTGGGGCAGGGGGGCAGATAGGTTTTTGAAGGTGTGTCAGATGGGGTATAGTGGTGCATTTTGTATCTTTGGGATGAATTTCTGATATGTCTGCTGGATGTGTGGGATGGGTAGATAAACAGATTTAGGATTACATGTGGAATGGGTGAGGAGAAAGAGAGAGGAAGTTAAAAGAATATACCATTGACTAATGAATGGAAGATAGGTACAGACTCTCAAATTCATCAACCAAACAGCCAGTCAGTCAGTCAGACTTTACTTCGCCCTTGCTCTGGCATCCTGGATGTGTAACGGCAGCCGTGCATAGCCCAGCTGTGCCCTGGTATGCAGCACGGAACAAAGAAAAGCCTCTGTCCTCGTGGTTCACAGACCAGTGAAGAGTCACAAGGCATGGGGCAAGCAGAGCAGGTATCCATGGGATACGGGGGCTAGAGAGAGATCTGACGATGCTAAGGGTCAAAGGTGTCCTGGGAGATCCAGCCTCAGCAAATAGCCCAGAGACTCTTCATTGAGTGGATGTTTGTCACCAAGTCAGTGACGGGTTTGGTCTCATGGGGGGAAGCACACCAGGTCGGGGGAGCAGAGACCCAGGAGGGGGTGGCTAAGGTCAGCAGGGAGCTGCTGATGGAGGTCAGAGCACAGTACAGTTGGGGGGATCAAAGGAAGCCATCGAGAAGATGGCGGGGCTCTGTGAAGGCTTTTCAGAGCGACATAGAGCCAGAAGAAAGGGAAAGCCAGACAGACCCTAACGGAGACTTTGGCTGAGGATTCAGGTCAGGCAGGGACGAGGCAGAGTCTGGCCTGGAGGACATGGGTCTTTACCACGGACAAGAGCTGTGGCCGTGAGAGTGGGCTGACAGATGGGCTCCGGACCTGTGTTGAGGGCGGCACTGACAATGCCGAGTTCAGCGTGGTGGATGGTGATGGATGGGGCTTGAGATGAGGTGGCCTGAGGATAAACAAAAGTCAAGCTGCAGAAGGAAAACTGGGCGGCTAGGGAGCTCGGCAGTGCAGATCCCGGCACCAGGCTTACGGCTGGACAGCGGGACAGCAGCGCTGCTGAGTCCGGCGTTCAAGGAGGAGGTGGAGGGCAGAGATGAACACGTGAAAGACACCACGTCGGGCCCTGGGGGAGCTGGCTCCACAAAGATGAAGAACCCAAATTCAAAGACCAGGAAACCAAATGGGAGCAGTAAGAAGACTTGGGATACTGGACAGAGAAGCAACAGGAAAGCTAAGAGGAGCAGGGGATGTGAGTAGGGCAGGAACAGAACACTGGAGAAGCAACCCAAGCAGGAAAGACAGGCAGTGCTCCGTGGGCCTGAGAGGTGACAGACGACATTTGCTGTGGTAGAGGAGACTGGAGAGACTGGCGGGTGAGTCCACCAGAGCAAGCAGGGAAAGACGATAAGAGCGTTAGACGAGAAGGGCAGATGAGCAGGACCATGAACGTTCATGGTCTGAGAGATAAATCCATTAAGGGAAGGGAGAAAGGGCAGGCCCTGGGTGGGCAGACCAGTGGGTGCCAGCTCATCCTCCAGTGCTGAAGGAATGGAAAGGAAACGGTGGCTGATGGGGACCAAATGGTCAGGAAGTGCTGAGCTCTGGGTATGCACTCCACCAGCGTATACAGTGCAGGTCCTGGTCCCCAGCGATGGCAGGGGGTGGGGCCCTTGAGAGTGGGGCAGCCCTTACATAGCAAAGGCCCCACATGACCTTTACCCTTCCATGTGTGAGAGATGTGAAGAGCTTACAACCCCGGAAGAGTGCAGACCTCACTGGAGCCTGGCCATGCTGAGGCCTTGTGAAGTTCTGGAAGGTCAGCAGAACTATGGGGAAGTCACTTCACACATGCAGACAGAAGCAGGTGACTTAGATTGGGGGTGTGTGGCAGGAAGGATGAGCAAGGGAAGTGGCATGGTGGGTAGTCAGCCGATACGTGAGTGAGAGGAGAAAAGGGAGAGGCTAGAGGGTGCATGGACAGGGATTTTAGAGTGTTCCTGAAACATTCGGGTAGAGTGGGGGTGAGTATTTAGAATAGATGGGGCCGAAAGGAGTAGGCCTCACTTGACTAGAAGAATGGACCAGTTGAGATGGGAAGGAAGTACAGGAAAGTAGACAGAGAGGGGCCGGGAATGTAGCTCAGCTGGGGGAGAGCTTTAGCATGCATAGAGCCCTGGGTTGAGATCATCTGAGGGTGTGGGATCCAAGCAAATGCTGGACTGTTTTAGATAAGGACTTGGGCATCCACGAACTTGGGTGTCTGTGGATCCAATCCCATGTGTGAATACTAAATACTAAATAAATAAATACCAAATACTAAAGGAATGGCCAGGCAACAGCCTTCCACACCCACCTCCCTGGGCAGCTCCGTATCACTAGGAAGCTCCTCCCATCTGGGCTCCCAGCCCTGTCTGTCTGCATCCTTAGTCTGTCACCACATGGAAGG